AAAAAAACATAAGACAACAAAAACAATAAGAAACAACAGAACAATGAGACACAACAAAACAGTAAGACAAAAAGACATAAGACACAACAAAAACAATAAGACACAACAAAACAATGAGACACAACAAAACAGTAAGACGCAAAAAAACATAAGACAACAAAAACAATAAGAAACAACAGAACAATGAGACACAACAAAACAGTAAGACAAAAAGACATAAGACACAACAAAAACAATAAGACACAACAAAACAATGAGACACAAAAAACATAAGGCACAACAAAGCAATGAGACACAACAAAATAGTAAGACAATATAAGTTATAATATCCTGGGTTATATACAACCCAGGATATTATAGTCCTCTAGTTGCATAAATAAATAGCTTTAAAATTATATTTCCAACTGATATTAACTTTTACAATAGGCCTATATTACATCCATGTTTTTCGTAGTACATGTGCCTTTTAAAGAATATTTCCTCTCTGCGGTTCCTTTGCAGACTGTGAACAAAGCATGTATGGAAAATTTCATTCGAATACAGCAGGAAAATAAAAAAAATACTGTTGATCATATAAAAACTGCGGTTCTGAATACTGGGAAATATTTGGGATCCTTTCAGTATTCAGACGTGGACAGAAACAGAAGCTTCAAATGGGATGTATAAGTAAGATTCTACACAAATTTCTCACAAGGCAATAACCGGAGAACAAGGTTCAACGGATTCGCGCTTATGGGTTTAAAATTATTTACGACACCAAAATCAAATTAAACCTCGATATTTTATGACCGATCTCAACTTCGTTAAAATAATAACATGTGTGTGCGTGTATGTTCTTTGTACTATAGTTTTATTTGGGACTATCGTCACCTGGTCATCGCATAGCAATAAAGTAACAATGGCATTAAAGTCAATTTGTTAAAGTCATTAGTTTTCAGCAACGATCCACTCTTTTTGATACCTACTACAGGCCTATAGGAGCAAAAATCTTGGGTAGCGTAATAAGAGGCTTCCGGTGTCTCGAGTGGAGCTCTGGGCTGGCGCCAGATCCCAACGTCTGTGGCAAATGGAGTATCTGCTGGGAGAGTCATAAACTCCCCTGCCCATTCGGATGACGGGGCACCAAACAAATTGGCAAATTCATTGCGTCTCTGTCAACATGCAATTAGGAAAGTAGAGATTAAATCTGTAAATCTGGTCCCTTTTTACCTGCTTTTATGTACGGTACAAAATATTTACGAACTGTGGGTAACAGTAGATGTGTAAAAACTAAATTAATAGTGGAAGCAAGCAATTCAACTGAAAGCATATGTTTTTGAATTTCACCACTATTTTATATACATAATTGACGTTAATATTCATTTATTGCAGACACCAATATATTGCTTACAAAGCTGTTCGCACGACATATATTACATTATAAAGACAGAAATCGCAGTTTTGTAGAAAATGTATAAAGTTTGATTTTAGGTTCTTGTGAAAATTTGTTACAATAGACACATAATACGCACCAACGCTCAGTATCTCTGTAAAATGTTATTCACATGGATCAGTAAATATTCTTAGACTAATAGAAACAAATTATGTATGATTTGTTTCTCCGAGACTGTCTGTAAAAATAAATTGTTTCAGCACAAAAAACATAGAATGTTTAAATCTTCAATTTCTCTCTGCAGAGCAGAAGCTTTACAAAATCAGGACTACTGGGCTGATTAGTGGCATCACCTATGACGGATTAATGTTTACAAGCAAAAGGATATACCATTTATATGTCCAGATATATAACAAAGTTTTGCTTTAATTTTATAAGCGTAAATGAGCGAATGGTTAAATTTCAAGATTTACACGCCCTCTGCGGAATGTTTTCGAAAGGCTGATAACTGAATAACCTTCATAATATTAAAATAACAACATATCGCCATGCCATCAGTCCACTACACCGGAAGATAACTGAAACAATACTTAAATGAAAGTATCCTAACATAACCTAAACTAAGTTAACAGCGACATTTACCGTAATCGCAATACCGTCAGTTAAAAAGAGCTATTATTTATCCTACGGCATACTCGTGTATCAAAACGATTACAATTTTAAAGACACTCTAGATACACATAAGATTATGTACAGCAGTAACAGGACAGTAAAATAAGTTATAATAACTGAATGAACTATAAACATTCCGTTAAAATCTTTCGTACATTGAAGTAACAGACACAGTACAATGATAGAAAACAGAAAACATTTCGTATTATAATTTCGCTTCTTCAATTTTTGTAGCCATTACCTGAAAATTATTGTAGTCCCCTTTTTCGTTATAAGAATGCACCAAAAATATACTCCTAGGAGGCGTAAACAATGTCGTGGCGTGTAAATTGTACCTCCTACACTCGATGTTAAATATATTAGCCATGGTTGAAACACAAATTTGTATGTGTCGAAAGAACAAGACCGATTATATTCTTACAACAGTAAACAGCAGAATGCTCGAATGTGTTTGTCTCAACAATAAGCTGTTCGTCCTACCATTGTTGCGAAAAATGACATTAAATGATGGAGACACAGAGTCGTCAGTTGTTTCAGACTGTGCGTAAGCAACTTCCGATTGCGAAAAAGATCCGGCTCCCGTTCTGCAGTTGTTTAAGACCATTATGTTAAAGTATTTCCCTTCAGACGCTCAAAACCCATTTAGGAAATAACGTTAGTGATATTACATATAAAAGTTACATCGTGAAATATTTAAAACAAGCAGATATGTAGCATGTAAGAGATTTACTGCAATGATAACAATTTAATAGACATTTCAAGTGATGTCTATAAATTCTAGAAGTCCTCTTGGTATAAATGTTGTTCACCAAGTTACATAATACTTCATTTAAAAGACTGTACAGCTTTTCAAATCGCACAAAGGACATTGATTTTGAGAGAGATTACATAACGAAAATCTTCATGATTTACACAGGTCACCTATTGTTGTTAGCGCAATGAAACCACAGACGTTAGACGGGGCAAACATGTACCTCGGATATGGAAGAACAAAATGAATGCAGAATCTTGGTGGGAAAATCATTTAGAAAGAAGTCATTTGGAACACCGGGGACGTAGTAAGTGAACCTTACGGAAACACTGTGACAAAGGGAAGTAGACGGATTGAAATCAGGATCGTGTCCAATGGTGAACTTCAGCATTAATGGTGTCGAATCTTTAGGTTCTGCTACCATGCGAGAGATGAGAATTGCGTATAAATTTTGATTTTAAAATATGAAGGAAAGAGGCAATTCGGAAGGACAGTATAGATTGAAGGATAATATTAAAATTTATCTAAAGTGAAGTGGGAAGGCGTGGACTGGATTCACCAGGCTTAGGATGAGAATAATCGATGTTCTACCTGCATGGTGCTAAACAATCGGATTTCATGAAAGGCGAACTTAAGCTGCTCTTAATTTCTTCTTGAATGTAATTATTATTTCTTACCGTCGTTCCCAAAACTTGAATTTTTCCGCATTTTCGAATGATTTATTAGCCATATCTATAGCATGATTTTTTTCCTGCAGTTTGGTGTCGATATATGAACAGATTTTTTCTATGTATTTACTTCTAGACCAAATTTATTATTTGAATGCAATACCGCTTCGTATTTTTCTTCATGATACCATGTTTTCACATGTCTGACAACCGTAATGACCACTGTCCTAAAACACTTTCAAGAAATTATCGTGGTACTTAGGCACAAAAACAAATTTGTAGTTTATCGTACAAAAACAATAACAATAACTAAAATAAAAATTATGTTGCATTATTATTATAATACATTTGTATCTGCCTTAGGTATCTGATTCAAACTCAATTAGATTCTAGCTCCAACTAGTTTCCACCTGAACGGTTCCTTGCACGTAATTTCTTGAAAGATTGACATTAATTCCTGCAACGTAACTAACTTCACCGAGCAGTCCTACTTGAGAAATTAATAACCTCTCAGCCAGTCAATAAATTCCTCTCCTTATTGATACCCGACTGTTCATCACTATATACACAAGAGCCTAACGCTGATCCTAAGCCAGATGAATCCAGTCCACTCCCTCTCATCCCACTTATTTTAGATCCATGTTAAATGTTCCTTCTAATTCAGGCCTACACCTTCCAAGTAGTCTCTTTCCTTCACATTTTCTAACCCAAATACTTTATTATTAACAATCAGAAAACTTTCAAAACTGTGTTATATAATACCCGTTTTTAGTATGACCTGACTACATTTTGCGCTACTTTCACTTTTTTGCGATTAATTCGACTACAAAGTCAGAGATAAGTACGCAACGTTATTGCCATTGTGTCTCCTATGCCCACATAGCATCAATAAATAAATTATGTTGATATTGTCAACAGTAGCTTATGAAATTAATATCATCACAAACATAAAGTAGCAATACTGATGAAGTTGGTGGCCGTGATGGGCAGAATCATGTCGGGAATTAAATAAAATAGATATTTAATATTTCCATTCATATTCTAGGTTTTTTATATATATAATTATGCGTCAGATACAATAGTATGGCATCGAACACAAAAGCTTAACTACCGGTTCGCGTGTCCAATCATCAGTCAGCAATTGCTGCAACGCTTTGTAGCGTCTGGCAGGCTTGATTTTCTTCTGGGGCACTTAGTTAGCCTACTGTTAACGTGGAGCTCGAGTGGAGGTTACAAAAAATGAATACAGATTTATGATTGAAAGACCCCTGGAATGCTGTTATCATCTGTCCGAACATGAAAAGGAATAATAATATTAATATGGATCTTAGAGAAATGTGTTTTAAAGTTCCAAACTTTATGGAAGTGGCACAGTATCCTGTTAAATGAATTAATATATTAGTAATGCTAAAAATTCGAGTTATTTACCAAAGAGTATGTTAGATCATCCCTTATTCTCAGATTTCCAAATTTATGTTTGGCAAAGTTCTGAATGCACTTCGTGC